ATCTAAAGAAATACTTTGCTGGGCAATGTATATTTCATGTGGAATCTATTTTGTGAAAACGTTTGAGAGTCTAATACTTTAATTGTTTTTTGCAGATACAGAGGTCATTGAGGGCTTGTTTTAAAAGAGAACTATAGCCAAACCCCTTTTTTCAGCTGTAGTTCTCTTTTGGGTTACAGGAGTACTTTTACGTATGTACTCCTCTGACCCAAAGTCCGAATGTAGTAGACTACTGTCTGCTGACAATCTTGTTTGGATCCACCCCGCTGCCTGATTGACAGCTGGCTCTGCCTCTCTAGAGCCAGTTGTGCCCAACCCCTCCACTTTCTGTCCCTCCAATGAGTGCTGGCGGAACATAGAGAGGAGGAGGGAATCCCTTTGGGGAGTGGTGACTGACGGTCTCTGCTGTCTGCAGGGAGAAGCTGTGGGCTTACGTGATCAGCGGTTTGTGATCATTCAGCTCTTGAGCTATAGATCTGGGGTGTGACAGCTGCAGTTCAGTTCATTTTAGTCTCCCAATAGTTCTCTTCCTGGCGGTCTGATTTTTTCCCCCCAATATTTCTTGCTTTTTTGTGTCCTTTTTTTTTTTACATTTCCCGCTGGTTCTGCCCCCCCTGTTGACGCGGCCGCTCGCAAGGGACGGAAGGCGGATGCCGGCATTGGCCGAAGGACACAGCGTGGCTCATAGGGAGAAGGTAAGTGAAGCGCTGTGCAATCCCGAGTGTTGCTCGGGGTTACTGCTTTTGATACTTAAAATGAACCCCGAGCCACACTCGGGAATACTGCCAAGAAGGTTAAAGTGTATTTCCACTTGTGCAGTTACATTTCAGAAAGTGTGTGTGTGTGTCTATTTACACCGCATACTTAAAAAATATTTTTTTAAATACACTGCCTGGCCAAAAAGAGTCACACACACTCTAATATTTCCTTGGACCGCCTTTAGCTTTTGATTACGGTACACGTTCACTGTGGCATCATATCGATAAGCTTATGTAATGTCACAACATTTATTTCCATCCAGAGTTATATTCATTTTTCAAATTAATAGTGAAATCTTGTAGTGATGATGGGGGAGTAGGACAACGGCATAAAGTCTTCTCCAGCACATCCCAAAGATTCTCAATGGGGTTAAGGTCTGGACTCTGTGGTGGCCAATCCATGTGTGAAACTGTCTCGTGCTCCCTGAGGGTTTGTTCACACCAAGTGTGTTCCAGGAGCAGAGCAGTTACAGAACGGATCAAAACTGCATCCAATGTATTCCAATGGCATTTTGGGCTCTAGTTCATACCGCAGCGTTCAGTTCCAGAGCATGTAAAAAAAACTGCAGCTCTGGAATGCATGCAAACGCCCTGGAACGCACACGCAAAGTGACCGGAAACTGTCTTTCCTCATTGAAAGGCCAGGGACACTCTAAAAACTTTGATTGTGAATAATGGATACATTCCAGTCAACATTTTTTAAATGTTTATACGGAACATCCTTTATACACTTATATTGATCTGACCTGTCTGTTTAAAATAACCTTGCCACCAATAACCTGTTTTTTTGCAAATATAAATTGCTGATCCATATGAACAAAAGCTTAGATCTTCAGCAATATCTACTGTCTCTGTGCAGCAGCGTGTCAGTCTTGCCATGTCAAGTCTGCCGGTTGTTAAATAGAACTCGGATTTAAGCGAACTTGAACTTAGCACTGTTACATTACAAATGTATGAGGGCCGTTCACACCAGATGTATTGAGGCTGCACTGGCAGCCGTGTGTTGCATTAGCATTGTCTCATCAGCACTCTTCCCTGTCAATGCACACGAGCAGCCTTGGTGATATGAACCAGCTCTTAAGCAAAGGCAAAGTTATTGGAATAGTTGAGCTGGTCCCATAGTCTTTTATCGTGGCAACAAATTCACTTCAGGGGGACCGGAAAAAGCTAACTGTACCGCTGCACTTGCATCTGGGTTTTTGGAAGGCTGTATCTAAGAAAGGTCAGCAAAGTGTTTAAACTAAGGATGCACCGATAATCGCTTGTTAGTAGAGGTGCACCAAAATGGAAATTTCAAAACCGAAACGAAACCAAAATAAAAAAAATTGTCAGGCTGAAACCGAAATTTGTTTTTTTATTTAAATTTTTTTAAATATTACATTTTTATTTTTTTATAAATTATTTTTATTTTTTTTACTTTTTTGGGGGCTTCTGGGAAATATTAGGGGTCTAAACAGACCCCTGATATTTCCCTTTTAAAATAGAAAAAGAGATAGAGGACTCTGTGTCCTCAATCTTTTTCTGTATCCCCTGTTATCAATGAACCGGAATCCTCTGAGTGTTCCTGTTCATTCCTAACTTGAGAACATTGTGTGTTTACTATAACCACAATCATGAATGAACAGGAGGTGATGTAGATCACTTCCCATTCATTCATAATTGAGGATATAGTAACCATACCATGTCCTCAATTATCTACAAACACTCAGCGATCACTGAGTGTTTGCACTCACTCTCCTCTCTGACACGCTATCACAGGAGGCTGAGCGAGCGGTGTAGTGAGGAAAGCTCAGCTTCCTGTGACAGGACTGGCTGTCTCCGCCCCCACACCGCTCTGCCGGACTGTGATAGGAGGCTGAGCGGTGTGCGGGGAGGGGCATCAGCCGCCCACAGCGCTCTCCCCCCGCAGCGCTCGGCCGACTCTCGCACTTTCTCTACCCGCTGGGACACAGAGCAGCACCCAGCAGGGAGGAAATAAATCATGGATGCGCCGATGTATCGGCACAAAAATCGCACTTTCAGCATTTAGCCAAAAGTGCCATTTTCGGCCTATATGTTTGGGCTTCACTTGCCGAGGCTGCCTGGCTTCCTGACCAATCAGGGAGGCGGGTCATTACGTGCCGCCCGGCTTCCTGAGATCTCCCTCTGACCGGAAGTTCCGGTATCAGAGGTAACTATCGGAGCATTTGGGCGCGTACATGTGCTCGCTCAAATACTCGGTATCGCCGCCGATATTAGTATCGGTGCTTACCTAGTTTAAACCCTATCAAACTTTTATTTTGTGTTTCCCCTTTAAGTCTATTAAGTATTCTATTTAAAGTGGGTGTGTTTTATATTTCATTATTTGTATTATTAAATAAGTGTAATCTATACCTGCTAATCATGCCAGAAATCCAGTGCTCTACTGTGCACTCTGTAGGCAGTCTTTTTTTTATCAAGCAATGACATCACTTCTGTGAATTAGAGAACACCCCCCCATGTTGGAGAGAGAGGGAGATGTTGTGTAGCCCTGTCCTATGGTGACAGTGCTGCTCCCCCATAAGACAGCATGTTAAGTGAGTGTTGTCACCCTAGTACAAGAAGTATTACTGGTGGGATCACTAGACAAAATTAATGGGGGAGAAAGCTTGAAAATGGGAGAACAAATGCAACCTGCACATATGAAGGCTTGCAAGCTGAAGTGTATGAAATGTGTACTGTTGGGTTTAGGTTTACTTCAAGTGTAATTAACAAAATAAATGTACTTACCACAGACATTTCTAATAATACTTCCCGGAGTTCCTCTCCAAGTATACATGACAAAAACAATCTTTGCGTTATTCTCAGATATAAAATGTTTTTGTTAAATTGAATTTGTTTCTGGATGCAGTGTCTATCCACAGCGATGGCTTTTTGAAGTCCCTTTGTGATAGAGATGAAAGGAATACTTTAACCCCTTCATGACTGAGCTAGTTTTCAGTTTCTGTTCATAAATGAATGACACCCTTTTTACGTTTTTGCTGTGAAATTCTTCCACGGCAGTAATATACTTTCTTACTAAATGTATATATTGTTTTTTAGAGGACAGATAGGGCTATATAATTATATCAAACGTGTACCTAAGCCTCACTTAGTTCGAATAAAATATAAAAAATGAGGGGAAAAAACGTAAAAACCCTTTTTTTTTTCACAAGTTTTGATAATTTTCTTTAGACATTTTTTTATAATGTATAAAAATATATATTTGTGTATAATTTTTATTTTCCTGATTGTTTTACACGTTTTTTTATGGTTATTATTGGGCTGCTCCAAACTTAGGAACAGCTAATAATAACCTTAGAGACTGATCTTGACAGCATGTCAGAATCGGATATCACTAAGGCCTTGTTCACACCGAAACGCACCGCGATTGCTGTGAAACTTCTCCCCGCGTTTTGGGGCCGGTGGGGGTGTGCCTGAAATGTATCACTTCTGATCGTCTGAGCAGGATCAAAGACCAGGGCTTATTCACCCCGAAAGCACCGCCACGCCCCCTCCCGCCCCAAAACGTGGGGAGAAGTTTCTACCCCTTTGGAACGCACACGCTTTCAGTGTGAACAAGGCCTTAGTGGCACCAGATCCTATGCAGTTTATCACACTTTGCTTTAAACCTTTCTAGTTGCTTTGCTCTATAACTTCAATAACATTCTTCCTAAACTGGTCTCTGCAACGTATTTCATTAACTGGATGTGACTTTGTTATTCTTTTAGTTTTGTTTTCAAACCTTTAATAATCACTCCCGAGTATTTGATGCAAGTTGAATGTAATATTTTGAGTTCTAATATTTTAGTATTGCATAGTCCACAATACTGAAACTTTCTTAAATTTCTTAAGTCTATATTTTATTTTAATGATTTATGGTTTTGCCTATAGTTTCTTCTGATTTCTTTGTCAAATGCCATTGTAAATAAGCTGCCCCACTTTTGCCATCATAGAAAAAAAACAAAGCCAGGAAAGCTCTGATGTACTTCTGAATCTTTCTCAGCCAAACCTTTACAATATTTGTCCTTTGAGACTATAAACTTTCTTATTCCATGCCAGCATGTTTTATAAAATATATATGCACCCTGGCTCAGATATCTAGATGGGAATGCTGTTAAGGCCTTTCTACCATTTCAATTATGCTTTGTATTATCCCCTTATTGTCCAATTTATTAACAGTTGCGTTGTATTGTAAACCAAAATATGAACCATTTCTATTTTTGTATTTGTTTTCTTTGACACTTGGAAGGGGGGTATCGATAATCCAGCAATCACTTCTGATCAGGAGCCGGATGAAAGAAAGACAAAGAAAAAGCCACCTAAAGTGAAAGAAGACAAGAAGGTGGGTGTTGTCCAGTTTAGTTCATCTTATTGCTTTCTATTCTGTTTTTGTTTTGTATTTATTGCTTTATTTTAGAGTACCTGTAACCTTTCACATAGCTGTTAGGAAATCTGTGCTACTTTATTTATTTTTCTAATCTGTTTCTTTTGCGTTACTCTTTTGGAACTGTGATTCACATGAATTGATGTCAGGAATATCCATGCATCTAGCAGTTTCATATAAAGGTCAATTATGGCAGCCCTCATGTTTCTTCCTTGACAGGAGTACATTTAGTGCTACCTGATGCAAGTCTTCAAGTTCACTCAGTCTTCTTTAATGCATTTTTTTTTTTTTGGTCTTGCCTTAAAGGTTGCCTCTTTTGTAACCTGTTTGTAGGACCCTTTGAGATTTAAGTTGAACCTCTAGCGTAGATAGCAAATGCCTCTTTCTACCCACATTACTGTAATTAAGAGAAATCACCACTCAAAATCACTTTCAGAAATAGACACTTCCAGGAATATTGGATTCCTAGTTTCTCACTTCACTAAGGATTATGCATACCAGTCCCTACATCACAACTGTGTCCTGTAATGATGTAGGCATTGGTGGGAGAATCCACTGAACACAGCAACAGCAGAGGTTTAGGAATGTGATACTCTTGGAAGTTAGTATTTACTATCTTCTTTAAGTGAACCCTTATACAAACCTTGATCTTAACAAGAGACTCTTTAGGTGCACAGTCTATTCATCCCATAATACATTTTTGTTTTCACTAGTTTGTTGGAAGTGATACTGCTTTGGTAGAGATCTGTTAACAAAACAATTGGTTTTGGGCACCAAAAGTGCCTAAAATAGTACTTTGAGCATCTCTTCTTTGGTCAGCAATTCTGTTGGAAGAGCTCTGCATAATTTTTAACCTTTTTTTTTTTTTTTTTTGGTTTAGGAATTTCTACAAACTATGATTTTTTTTTTTTTTTTAAGGCATAGCTAGTTGTACTCTAGTGAGACTTGTGCTTGTCGCCTTTATGGGATATGTTATATCCAGTTTCTTTGGATGCATTGAAGCACCTCTTTAGGCAGCTGCATGCTGGGCCTGAGATTTGTTTTCTCTTTTTGAGATGACCTTCTTTGCTCAAGTCCATACCTGAACCCTTTAATGGAAGATCCCCAGATGGAACAGGTGTCCATTTTCCCTGGTTAGGGAGGTTTCTCTCAGACCACAGACCAGGGTGTTCTGTTGTGTGGATGCAGACACAATATTGGTTTTAAGTCCTTCCTTGCCATCTGCTGGTTGACCTCACCATAGACTCAAGCCTTCTCAGCTGTGAAGATGCATGCTATCGACTAAGGATGAAGGCAGAATCCAAACTACTGAACAGTCTGCTAAAAATACAAGCTGTAAGTCTGTCTCTGCTGCATGGGCTCATCCTTTTTTTTTTTATTCAAATAACTTTATTGACCGTTTTGAACATAAACAGAACCCATCCTTTTGAGGGTCATGCAGTTTAGTTACAGTGTGATAACTCCACATTGGTGGCATTCTTCAATTACCAGGGCAGCACAAGAAGCTGGGCAGTAGCCCAATAAGTAGAGCATATGTTTTGCTAGATGTGTGGGCGGGTCCTCCTGGAGGTCCAAATCTCAGTTGAAAACTGGAAAGTGAACTGTCAAAAAAAAATTGCTCTGTGCACTGTTGATATAGTGCAGGTAGTCAGTTCCTGACAGCTATGACTTCCTTTAGAAAGGCCGGCCTGTCATTGTGGATGATCCCTGCAGGGGGGTTCTCAAGGCTTTCAGCCTGATCATATTCAGAAGCATTTTTTAGATTTTCTCAGGCATATTCTTAGATGTTTTCTTAGTTCCCATCCAATGCTCTACTGCAGCAGTGTGTGCACTTATTGGGCCTTCTGTCTACTAAGTCTGAAATGTGGCAACATGGTCTTGGTCCATACTGCTACTAAATTCTGCGGGGTGGGGAGGCGTTGCCAGGCAGATGACATGGATGGCCACTGATCTCTGACGCTCTGGTCCTAATATCTACGCCGTCTGCCATCCTGTCATATTGCGGCTGCAATAGACATGTATCCCTTTGCTCAGAGAGACACATAAGCAGCAAAATCCAGCATAACAACCCTCAGAGGCTGGTTTAGACGGTGGCATGCTTCCAGCAGTCCCAAGATGGTGCTGCGAGCCACGTGGCTGCAGCACTGGAAGACTGTCAGCTCTATCTCCTCCACGGAGCTCTCCTTATCGCAGGCTTTGGATGCTAAAAGACTGCAAATCTTCCCCGACGATACAGTTTGAGGGAGTCCATATTGACTTTCCTTTATTGAAACATGATTTATAGGGGATGCAGATGCCCGCATTGGCTCACTGGAAGATGTAATTAAGACCCCCCCCACAACGTGACTCTTCCTATTCTCATGTGTGTCTATGGGGAATCTGATGTTAACAGACATGTGTCCGTTTACATCAGATTAGCCCTGGTCCGTCAAACATATTTCTGATCAATTTATTTTTCCAGACCTAGCCCGAGCGGCTGCCCATAGACTTGCATAGAGCATCTGATCGGATCCAGCTAAAAAACGGACAGACCCGATCGGACTGCTCATGTGAAAGGGGCCTTAGAGGCAGCAGCTATACCCACGTGTGAAAGGATCTAGTCCCCTGCCATCAAGTGAGTACAATGTGTCAAAATTGTATGAAGTGTGTTTTTCATATTTTATTTTTTATTCCATTCATTTGGGCAGTGAAAATGACTAAACTTTGAGCAACATACATTGAGGGGAATTTATCAAAACTGGAGGAGACAGAATCTGGAGCAGTTGCCCATGGCAACCAATCAGCATCCACCTTTTATTTTCAAACCTTACCTAAACAAACTGAAGAGAGAAGCTGATTGGTTGTCATAGGCAACTGCTCCACATTCTTCTGCTCCAGTATTGATAAATTCCCCCCATCGACTTTGTTGTCAACAGCATTTCTCTTTGCTGTATTATCCCCTAGCGCAATCTGTGGTATTCTAATATGTATTTTGAAATAGAAGTATTGCAGAGTTTTCCCGCATTCAACGTTGGCTTCAAGTTCAAGTGCTTCTCTTGCTTGCAACTTTATTGTTTAGCCTGAGCCTGTACTAATTATAGTAACACCCCTGACAAATACAAGATAAGACCAATGTAGAGACTGTACTTAAAACAGAAGCCTGAACAGGGCATGCCACCATTCTCTTATTTCTGCAAAGTTTAAACAAGCAAAGTGGTTGTCAGAGCGCCCATGCAAATCATATTAATGTTATTGAAGCAAGCCAAGCAGTATTCGTTTTCTAGTTGTAAAGCTTTTAACTTGCACCACTTTTAACACATTCTCATGCTTGGTTCCAACAATATCAACAAAGACTGACTCCAGGGTCCACTACTGTATATATCCATAGGTATGTGCGTATTTCTAAGACGCCTTTTCATTTTCTGTACTTGTATTGTACTCAACTGCTGCAGGAGAAACTCGTATTTCTTATGTTTGTAGTGCAGAATTACTCAGATTTCTGTAATAAAGTTGGCTAAAATAATTCAGAATTTTTTTGTATTTAATTGTACAGTTGTCCTTGTATTGAAGTTTCCACTTCTAGAAACCCAGCCTCTTAGACTCGCCTGTCCCAAATCCAGAAAAATAGTGCTAAGAAAGCTGTACAGCCATTGTCAAACTCTTATGGGCCTTCATGCATGCAATGTGTACACTCCTATTCATTCCTATGAAGAGATCATACTTTACTAGAGCACAGAGTATACATTCTCCATAGGATTAAAATCAAAGTGTTTTCAAGCTACTTTAAATGCTTATTAAATCACTTACAATGGATGCTGCCTCTTGATGTTTAAAAGTTTCAGTTTTCTGCAGAATCAGCTGGTCAACTGAGCACAGGTCCTGATCTCCTGTTGTAGGGTGGCTCCTTTCCATTGCAGGGTCCTCTGGAGCCACCATTGTTTGTGTGTGTTATTAAGCTGTGTGTCTCCACAAACAGACACAGCAAGACACTATTCACCTGCTCTTAGCTCCCTTCCTTCCCCAAGTTAGTAAATGGACATTTGCTGGTCCCTTGTGATCTTGTAATGAACAAAGTTCAGGAAAGCAGAGCTGAGAGAGTTGGAGTCAACTGTTGTAAAGAAATACTTTGCTGGGCAATGTATATTTAATCTGGATTCATTAGTGAAAAAAAGTTGGTGTTTTTTATACTACTTTAAATGAAGATTGCACAGTGCATGTGCAAGCCTGGCTCCGAAGGGGCGGTTTGGTGATTATCTTGCTGGTTCGGACTAGGCGAGTCTAAGATGGCTTGGGGACATGGAAAGCTTAGGTATAACTGCACCTGAGGTGCAGGTACATTTGAGAGCCAGTAATCCCAACCATATGTAGGAATGATACACAAGTGCAAACACGTATGTAGACCATTTCATAGTTATGCAAAACACGACCTTTTGACAGACTATATTTGCCAAGCAGAACAGTCCAGGATGTTACCTTGTTTAATATTTTATACATATATACATGTATAATGATATCCCCAACAGGTAGACAGTGTTAGTTATTCTCACCCCCCAATAATGGGAAGCATGCAAACTGCTCTATTTTCCATCTGTAACTATGCTGATTTCCGAAACTCATCAGAGCAGTTCATATTATTGCGATGCACCACGTATTTGATATTGTGCTGCTTTAGCATGCTATATCAACATTGCCAATCACTTCACTGCTGGACTGTGACTGTGGAGGGGATGTTCAGTTTTGTATATTCCCTTTCTCTTCTATTGCAGTATTAATCTAAAATTTAAAAATCAGTTTTTCACTGTTGAATATTTAGGAGCTGAATATAAAATGACCATCTACATTTAAATAGAAAGCTGAGACTTTTGGAAGGTTTTGAAATCTGGCCCTGAAAAACACCCTAATATTGGTCAGTCCCTTTTCTGTATACTCAAATATTATCAACTGAATGGTACGAGTTTAGTTAAAATGCCAATGTGTAA